GATATTTAGGTAAGTGATGTAAATTATTTTGGAAAGTTTTAGTGGTTAAGAATTTCCCAACAAATGTTGTCACTGGACATTTTATCATTGCCCAGATTGGTTATGATTGCTCACCTCACTGAACGCTAAAATTAGGTATGACTACCACAACACGTGCAAGAATTTTCAATTAAATTTCTCAAGTGAGTCAATTCTACTTATTTCCCACCAGATACAAGATTGTGCTAGCATAGAATGAAAACCGTTTCTCATTCTGAGAACTGCCAGAATTCACCAACATTTGTTGCATGAAACGATACCATCATAAAAATATGCGTAATGTGTGTTGGACAACAGAAAACTAATCAGAATATTAAAATTTCTCAAATTCCAAATCACTTTTCTCTTTGTGTGAAAGCTTTACCCTCAAGGATGCTTCGAAATCTTTTGTCTGCCGCAATCTCGTTCGATAAGCGAACAATATAGCCACGTGCGCGGGAAGTCAACCGCGAGGTCACGTGATCACAGCACGGCGCGAAAATTAAATTCCCGCGAATATGTAATGTTGCAATTTCAGTGCAAGCGACAACAAACGATTGCTACACCCAAAACACGGAATTATATCAAAACAAACCACGATCCATTGCAATCTGCTGCTTTGGCGTCAATTTTTCTGTCCCCAAAACAAAGGAGGATACAGTTTACTATACATTTCACACAAAGCTATCAATTTCGGTGGGATTTGGCTTTCCCGATGGCTCGATTTTGATAGCTAAATTTTGTAATACTACATTGTGGAATTCCAAATATACAATATGGCTACAGTTAGCAACCAAACTTCGCAGGTTTTTACTGTGGAAAATCGAGGGATTTTCAATATGAAACATGGAAGAAACATTAATGATGTGCAAACCACCACCTCAGTGCAAAAATTGAGTGTAGAAAAGAGGGATTTATTTGGCAATACACCGAATGTTAACAATAACACCCTTGATCGAACGCCTGATGTTGCAGTATTCCCTCGGGGCTCTCGTCCGAACATCTTACTACCCCCACAGGTATTTGATATTGAAATATTTACTTCTATAGTTAATAAAAGGAGCAAAAGTACATACTAGAAGCAATGATTCAAAAATGAATCTCATAAACATATTTTTATTTAGGCAAAGCGAAGATTGAATTGGGAATCAAAAGCCGAGTCAAGTGATCCGACATTCAAGCCACCAACAACAAAACGAAAGACACGAACAAAGACTAAAACATGCGCTTTAAAAGGTACGATATAAAAGCTACAGCTCTTGTTTAACTTCTAGATAGCATAGATATAAAATGTGTAGTGTATTTCTTTCAATATTATGTATATATACACGCTGTAGTTTACTGCGTAATACCTTTGTTGTGTTGTCGTTGCGATGCTTTCAAAGCTGTCATCAACTCGTCATATAAAATACTTTGACTAAAAACCCTTCCTGTCTTTTTGAAACCGCGATTTTAAACTGTTTTATGTTAAAGCCAAATCCCTGATTATGTTATGGTAGAGTTCTGGTGATTGCTTAGTTGATGTCAATGTGTATTTCGTAATTTTACAAAGCTTCTACATGAAGCTTTGGTCACTCGGGTGAAACGAAGGACAGCTCGTTGTTTTATTGACATATATCACAAATGGCTTGATATTTTAAATTTATTCACGTTCAAACTGTGTTCAAAGTGAAGTAGACCTTTCAAAGTGAGATGTTCCTTTAATTAGATGAAAGAATGCTGAGAAAGATTTTTATCTTTCACAATGCTTTTTTTCATGTAAATTATGTTGCTTTAATAATTTAAACTGCCAGTTGGTATAAATTTAAACTTGGTGATGTAGCTGTAGTGAGAAAATGATGCTAATACTTGTCATTATATGTAGTATAGTCACATTTGTGGAAGGGATGTTTTCCTGCCAACATTAGGGCTGCCCAGATGATGCATGCTCTAGGCATTAAATAATTTGGCCTTTCAATTTCTTTCTAGTGAAATCACCAATTGAAAAAACACGCTATGACACATCACTTGGCCTTCTGACCAAAAAATTTGTTGGGCTCATACGACGTTCAGCATCGGGCGTGTTGGATCTTAACGAGGCCGCTGAGCTCTTGGCCGTTCAGAAAAGGCGCATTTATGACATCACAAATGTACTGGAAGGAATTGGCCTCATTCAGAAGAAATCAAAAAACAATATACAATGGAGGTATGACATAAACTGAAGGTTGAAATAAATATGATGAATGCCATATATGCCAGAGAAAACATGCAGGGCATATTTAAAATAAATTTCCACATAGCTCCCCTTTTTCAGGAAAAATTCTTAGTACCAGTTATTTATTAAAGCTTGTTATAAGTATTTCTAAACAGTTTTTCCATAACCAAGGGGATGTCGGAGCGCATTACTTCATGTGGACGATGATGACAATCATGATGTCACACCAGCTATCTCACCAACGATTGTCGACTTGCATACAGATGTCGCTGATCTTGAGGCGAAAGAAAACAGATTAGATGAATTAATTGCAACATGTCAACAAGATTTTGAGAAACTAACTCAACCTCATAATAAATATCCTTTACATGACTCTAATGTACATGCATTGTGAACTGTCATCAGAATATAATGTCTCTTTATTCTATGTAATTTTGCCTGTCAGTTTATATTCCTTAACCCCATCTTACATTTGCATATGTCACATACAAAGATATTCGAAATGTAAATGAATTTAAAGATCAAACATTGATTGCAATTAACGCTCCACCAAAAACACGACTGGAAGTGCCAGACCCAGCTACAGAGGTAAGATATGATTAAGTAGTCTTGCATTGTCTTTTCATTAACTCCTTTTTATCCAATCTCCATCTAGTCGCTCATAATGTTTTGACATATTTGTGATGTTATGAAAATGGCATTATTGCATTTTAGCTTCTTGTGATGTAAGTTAGAGTGTGTGGCTCAATTTGCTAAGCTGTATGCATACACGAAAATAATTAGGGAGTAAGTTATTTTCTGTCATTGTCATTACAGAGCATACAATTGTCATTAAAAAGCACCGATGGGCCAATAGATGTTTTCTTGTGCCCGGACGAGAATGATCAAGCCTCGCCAGTGAAATCAGAATCAGGAAGCTCATCAAGTGACTATGTGTCAACGAGCGAGGAAGAAATTGGCCCAGATAGTGAAAATGTGGACATGTTTCCTGTTCATGGAATCCAAGATGTGAATTTCCAAGAAACATTGGGTTGTAATTTTGAAAGAATTCCTGAAACAGATGAAGAAACGCTCATTGCATTTTCACCATTTCGCGAGGAGACTGATGACTATTTCTACAGTTTGACAGAAGAAGAAGGATTGATGGACCTGTATGACATGTATGATTTAAAACCATCTTTTCCTCTCGATATTTAAATTTGGAAATGAATGGATGAAATTCAATGATTACCAATGTGCTTGATATATACTTGAATATAAATAGATGAATAATGTGTATACTGTATAGAAGAAGGGCTATATATGTAGTATTTTAAACGTGAGCAGGAGTGCTTTATCAGATATAAAACACGAGAGCCAGAGGCGCCGGAATATCGATAATTGGGGGGGGGGGCAGATATTCATATATCCGTGTTCTGCCCAATTAATTTCTTTTGAAATCGATTGTTTTTACAGTCTGTGAACACGAATATATGAATACCTGCCCCCAATTAGTGATATTCCGGCGCCTCTGACAAGAGCTCAAGTGTTTTATATCTGATAAAGCATGAACTGTGAGTGTTTTAACTGGCTTAGAAAACCCATCTGATGAGTTCAGAAACTTTGTCTAAGCCGAGAAAATCAAAGTTTATGTAAATGAACATGATTTTTTGTCGCATAAAAACACTGACAATTGGTAGCGATTTTCCATTATATATATATATATATATATTCAAAAACAATTAACAAAAGACAAAGATTCAAATATGTCTCTTTCTTAGTTACTGATGTCCATAGTTGATTTTAATTTATTTTTTAGTTGAGTTTTTTAATTTAGTATATAATTTTATTGACATTATTGTAAAAAAATAGAAAAAATTACAGTTTTTATGAGTCCGGATTTTGAAAAAGAGAGTCCAGTCCAGGTCATTCAAACGGACTCTATATTTCCTGATTTATGAGTCCGGGTTTTGAAAAAGAGAGTCCAAGTTTTATATAGTGGATAAACAAGTCCCCATTATCCCTTCGAATCCCATTATAATGCAGTCATGACAATCGTAATCCCACTGCATTCAATATTGTCCTATTACATTCGGTATTATCCCTCTATGCACATCATCAGTTCCATTATCCATTTTAATCCACTATTCTCCATATACATTCATTCTAATTCCTATACGTCTAAAACTATCCTTATATATTTACCATTATCCCTTAGTATTCAACACTGTGCCTTTGTATTCTACATTATCCATTGTGATTCAACATGATCCCACTACATTATCCCTTTGCATTCACCAATACTCGTTGGTATTCAACATCATCTATCTATATTCAACATTATTCCTTTGCATTCATCAGTATTCCTTGATATTCCACATTATTCATATCTATTCCATATCATCCTTAAACATTCAACATTATCTCTTGGCATCAACAAATACCCCTATATATCCCACAATATATCCCTCTGAATCAATTGCTACCCTTTGCAGTCTTCATTACCCCTAACATGAGCCCTGAATGAGCACTATTCAGCAGTCTTCCCAATAAGTTTACTTATAGTACAATGAATAAAGGCAAAGAAATACTTGATCCCAAACGTTGGGCTATATATCAAATTGAAGCTATTGAAAATTGCTATTCGGTGCGGAAATTTCAAGACTTCAGCGAAAAGAAAAATATTTAAAAAATACAAAAACAACTGCAAAATGGCAAATTATCGGCAATTATTTTTTTAGTTTTTCAATATTTCCCTTTTAGCTAAAGTCTTGAAATTTCTACATCAAATAGCAATTTTCAATAGCTTCAATTTGATATATACCCAACGTTCAGTGTTCAATGAGTATTTCCGCTCATAACTCAGAAAAACTAAAATGCACTGGCTTCAATCCCCCCCTGAGTTAGCCTTCCAGTTTATTTGTTTATTTATAGTTCAATGGCGCAACCTCGTTCCCAGGCTCGTAGAGGAAAGAGCCTGGGAACGAGGTTGGCAAAGGCGTTTCTATTTTCGCGCCTTTTTTGAGCGCTCTCGCTGCGGAGACAGAACCACAGAACAACTAAGGCGTTTCGTTTGAGAAATATTTTATTTTTTGTTGTTAATACATTTGTATTGTATTGTATTTATAAAAAGATGAATGTTTAGAGAAGAAAGTTTAAAGTTAGCTTGAAACCAGGTAAGTAGAGTACTCAGAAGTAGATTAAAAGTACGTTTAGGCCGAGGGAATTTGAGTCATAGAATGCCGGCCTTATGATTTCAAAAATAGATGAGGCTTTTTTCATTATTCATTATTTTTAGAAATGTGTTAAAATTGGTCGAACGTCAATAGACCCGTTCAGTAATATACTAGCAATCTTTAAAACTAGGCTCTACACTTTTGCCTAGCGAGTTTAACTCCTTAATTAAAGAAAATCTCAGTACAGCCAATATATAGCCAATCCACAAAGATGCAAGCAGTCATTACTGTGATATTATTTCCAAAAACATATGCTATTAAATTTAGTTAAAAATACCCACCTTTTGTTTCTCCCAAAGTCGGGTTTATTGGCCGACCACATCAGAATACTTTTGGAACACACACATCGTCGATAATCGGCTTATATGGCGTTGAACAGTACCTACGTGTGGAGTTTTGCCGTACAGGTAGACTTTACCCTTAATACATTACTTCTGCGACGAGTTATAGTTTAAAGTATAGATAATTTTTCTGTGTTGGTGTTGTGTAGTCGGGTGAATATGATGCTTGTGTTGTTACTCTGAGTGTATATCCAAACCGGGCAAGGCTTGAAACATATGCCCGGCCACGGTGGGAATCGAACCTACGACCTTTGGAATACTAGCCCAATGCTCTGCCAACTGAGCTACGCGGTCAGGTCGGTTCGAGTATGGTTCGAGTGTGTGATATTTCGGAACAGAATCTAGTTCCTAGCTCGCGCATTCAGAGCATTGGGCTAGTATTCCAAAGGTCGTAGGTTCGATTCCAACCGTGGCCGGGCATATTTTTCAAGCTCGCCCGGTTTGGATATACACTCAGAGTAACATCACAAACATCGTATAGATAATTCTTGAAATAATGAAAATTCCATGGTTGCCCATGAAATGGACTCATGCATTACACACAATGATTAATCAGGCCGATTTAACCCGTGATTTAGCTTTGCGTAAATGATATTTGAAAAAAAACACCAGTCAACGTCATTTGATATTTGAATGAAATCCCTTCGCCTGGAGTTACATGCAGTGTGACACGTCTGCCAAGAATACCAACCGGCACTTGGTTTGCTGTTTGAACCTACCAGTTTGCTTTGCTTGCAAAACAGTCATTACTGTGCTTCGCCAGACTGGAAAATTTGCTTTGCGCGGTCTGGATCTCGGTGCGCACGTTTTGTCCTGACACAGGGCCAGAGACAAATTTCAAATGCTTCGCACCGCGGACGCGCAGAAACTCGGAATGCATGCAAAAATAACTAAAAATGGATTTGTCAATTAATTGCGCGATAAGGGTTGTAGTGCTTCAAGAGACAGTGGTGCTGTGAGGTCTTCGCTACCACACTTAGGAGGTCTTTGTTACCACACTCCCTTAAATAGTCTGTAAATGTTTATTCACAGCCAACATGCTTTTGAAACTATTACAGGGAGAAATAAGAAATGTGTATGTTTGAGGCTTTCAGAAATATTGGGGTGGGGGGGGGGGGCAGTTGCCCCCAGTGTTTGCCACCATTTTGTATTTTTATCTGGGCATGTATATAAGATGGAAATATGATTGGTAATAAAATTACTTTATTGTTCACATCCTATTCCTACTATATTTGGCATTGCACAGCTATGAAACAAGGTCTATGTTAAAAAACAAAAAGTATATATTTATATTTAAATGTTATTATTGGTTTATACAAAAAGACTATTAAAAGTTCCTTCCTACTTATTTAATACTACTTGGATAATCACAAACAAACTAACGTTAACATCATTTATGTATCATGAACATTTTTCTTAAACATATGGAATATGAATACTATATCAACAGGCATTATTAACAGTTGAGAGCGCACTTTTTGAACTTGTGCAGGGAAATTGTTTAAAAATTTTTTATTTGTTAGCAATCTTTGGCTTACAAAAATCTAAACAGGAAAAGTTCTATTATATATCTGGTCAGAGGCGCATTGACTATTATTAATGAGACCTGTGTAACGAATTAGATACTTGAAATATAGTCATATAAATCTTACTTAATTTGTAACAATTTATCAGTTTCTGGTGATGGACCCTCCGCCTCAGGTAAACTATTTCGACCATCATCAACTTCTGGTGATCTACGATCAGCTTCGGGCAGGCTGCCATATCTTTCAACGTCTTTTTCTGCAGGGTTGTATTCATCATTATTATCCTCCGATGCTGAACTCAAGTTATTATTCAATAACTTCATGCACTCCTCGGTAAAGTTATCACTGACCTTTAGTGTACCAGTGTCCTCGTTCCCAGGTCCTCCCATTGAAACCTCGCTGCTCGACTTTAGCATCTCTGGAGGAATAATACTGAAGCGCTGAGGTTCGTTTTCACTGAGTGTCACTTCGATCACGGGTAGAGATTTCTTGGATTTCTCGAAATTCTTAGGTTTCTCGGAGTTTTTGGAATCTTTAGAATCATTCCACATGAGTAGATT